ATTTAAGAAATGGTGGGCCTGATAAACCAGCGGAATGAGTCACAAATCTAGCTCTAGATTGATATATAGATCTAAGAGAAGAAGGATTTTCATGGACGGATGTAGTATTGCACTTCCTTTAATAAAAAGGGGACAACTGGTGGCAAGTCACGGTTATTCACCCCTTTCGGCCCCAGATAGGTTATGGGAAATTTCACCATATTCGTGCCCACAGTCAAGTAGACTCATCAGCTTGGACCATCAAACTCTAGACCTCCCACATTTTTTTTGTTTATTGGGGAGCTACAGTATGCGCCCTTACCACTAAGCCACTTCTTGTTGTTTAGTATTCCAATCATTTGCAATAAGAATAATGTAGGTATAGCAAACTTCTTCAAGTCAAATGATATTTATTGGAGATATTTTCACCTCTATTAGAGACATGAATATATACGGAGATGTTTCACCTCTAATATTAAGGGTACACACACACACATATATATATATATATATATATTTCATTTTGTTTGATATAGAATTGTTCTCAAAATTACTCTATACTTTGAAAACAATTTTGTTGATAATTTTTTATCTCAACCTCTAGTTGGTCGAAAAAAATTATTTACTTATTTTAACCTTGACAATTCGCATAGTACATCTAGGAGTTTTAATATTAGTAAGAGATCCACTCTTTCCGTTTTAGACCATGATCATATTCAATAGTACTTTATATGTTTACAGCACCACAAAAGTCCAACCGATCAGACATCTATTTCACTCAAAAGTTGTTGGTGCGTAGGTAATTGTAATTCAACTTCAAAGTCATCTGTTTGTTTTGGGTTTTTATTTTTTATTTTTCTTTTATGAATGATGTCATCTTACTAGCATTTTTTGTGATCATCATTGTGGTATTAAAATTTCGTCGTCATGTTAAAGACCAAAGCCACGCTTCCAGAAGGTTGATTTGGCCAATAAACCTCTGAAGCCTAAGTCAGAAACTTTGTAGAAAGAGAGTGACTTAGGCTTGAATTGCATAGAATCAACTGATCAGAGAATAAACCGGTGATGCAGTATTTATAGGAGCTAGGGCCAGTCACATGCATGTGTAGGGTTTTCATGCCATGTGTCGGTGTTTGATTAGGAGAGTTTGTCATATATTGGATACAGTAGGAAAGAATCTTTAAGATATTGAAATGTCTTAAAGATACTTGAGAATAATCCTTTGAGATACTATTAAATATATATAATCCAAGAATTATCTTTAGAAAATCCTTTTTTTTTTATACCATTATCTTGGGAGAATCCTTGATTGGAATTCATTGGAATTCATTGTCTTCTCTTGAATAAAGGAACGTGTCTTTAAATAGGAAAGCTTAAAGGGTAGGAATTAGTTATTAATTTCATCTTTAATTCTTTGCCTTATCTCCTTGCCATTGACAAAGGAGCTTGGAGAAATTATAGGTGGAACCTTAGGGCTCCTTGGTGGTTGAACTATACGTGGAACGAATGTGTGACTCACCAATTAATGAGGGCATTCCAGTTAATAGTGAATAAAAGTCCACGTGTTATCCATTCTAGGATTTTCTTAATTATTCTTTGCTCCATAATCATAAAGCTTTTTTTATTTTTTTTATTTTTTTATTTTTTTATTTTAACGAAAACGATTTGCATGACATAGGTTCAGTGCCACATGTCATCTCGTGCCAATAATATAAAGACATGCGTTAGTTTTTTTTTTCACATGTGCTTGTGTTATTAGCACAAGACTCCACCATGGTGATGATGATCATGTGCCATACAAGTTGTTTTTCTTTTTTTAGGTTACAAACTTAGCCAAAATAGACTAGGAATTTAATACTTACTAAAAGTAGCAATTAGTAAACTTACAAAAACATACATAACAAAGTTCTAAAGAACGAATGTGCAGAGAAAATATCACTTTGTGCTAAAAGCTTTGTTTTACTTCCTTTAAACTCATATAGTTATTTTGCATAGTTGATTGTTTACAGTGTAGACTTTAGAACTTATATTTTAGATCAATCTCAAAGCCTCAATTTAGGTGGAGCTTAAAACCTATTTCTAAGCTCTGTAATTCATTTTATACCCTATATAATCAACTCTGTAGTTGAAGATGATCAAAGTTAAAAGTATAAATGTCTATGAGTTTTTATCGTAAATGGCCCATGAGATTGACCCAACTCATCATTGTAGTCCCTCAATTTGAAATCAATCAATATTTTCCATGACTTTAACTACCACACATCGATGTGGTCTCTGCAGTCCAAATTTGTCAAGTTTTTTGTTAGTTTGCTAATGTGGCACACATAAAGCCCATACAACCAATTAATGGTTGTCACGTAGATCATTTCCGACTCAATTCAACTGATCAGATGAGATCCAAGATCTGCTAGAGAAACACATTCAAAAGTGTGAGAAGTGTGAGGAGAATAAAAAAGTATGAGAAGCGGAAAAAAAAATCTTGATGCCTATGAAGAGATGCGAAAGTCATTTGCACATATGTTGAAAATGAAAGCTCCAAGTACCTACAAGAGGTAAAAGAGGACAGAGCATGATTCAATACGTGGCTAGATGAGAAGAACTTTCCTTACATTTTTGCATACAAATCAATTCCATTTGAAATGTGGTTGAATCAAAAGGTCGGGAGGACAATTTTTCGATTCGGCTCCAATTAAGAGTTGGCCTAAAAAGAAATGTCAATTTGGTCGAGGAAAAAGTAAGACCACTTGTTTTTTCGTTTGAAATGGAAAATTTGGTTGGCCTAGAAGAACAAATTGAAAATTTTGAGCCAAATACAAAAGGTGACATGGTTGTTGGAGACAACGCTGGTAATAGCGCAATCTCGTTCTGCGGGGTTATTTGAGGTAAAAGCTCAAATTGTGAAGTGATTATGTTAAGGGGCATAATAACTTGACCTACTTTGCAACCGAATATCTAGAATATTTTTCCGAATATCATTGTAGATAAATACAAGTAAGACACATTAATCTGTGACAGGTTGACTAAGAAAAAAATATGTCATATAGGTAGATAAATACAATTAACCTGTAATCAAGGAAGAAAATATCGGTAATATCGGAAATATCGGTAGTTCGAAAACACGGAAATATCGATGGAAATATCGGGATAATATCGATATCGATAAAAATTACATGGAAACCACGGAAATTGTAAGAAAAACTTGGAAATTTTTATTGAAACTTTGCAGGATGTTTATTTAGTCAATTATCTATTAGTTTATCACAAAAAATTGGAATGAAATGCATTGCATGATGGATTTAACATTATCAAGTTGATTATATAGCGAGCTGACAAACATTGTGAGTGTAGAAAATATGTAGAAATTAATGAAAGAAGTCTAAACACACCATAATCATTTATATATAATGAATTAGTACAATATTTTACACTTTATACATTGCATGGTAAGATACATGAGTGACTTAATGTAGTTCCTATGAGGTTCAAAATTTTCACTATCTTCATCATCTCTATGTGTAGAGTGAGTATATTTTGAAGAGTAGTTAGCAACCATGGCAATGGTTTTCAAGAACCAAAACCCAAAAGTCAATAGGAAACCGAATACTTCGGTATTTTTCGGGATTACCAAACAAATGGGATTTGGAAACCAATCCCATATCGAAAATTTCGGTATTTTTCGAGATGGGATTCCCGAACTTCAGGATGGTTGGTTTGGGATTTTTCGGGAATTTTCAGGAATTTTTGGACTAATATCGCGATATTATAGCGATATTATAGTCAATATCGCGATAATATCGATAATATCGCGATATTTTGACGAAAACTCATTGGATACTCATTAAAATATCGGTAACTCAAAAAAATGAAAATATCGGCGAAATATCGCCGATATTTTGGATATTTTCTTCCATGCCTGTAATATAGGTTGATTATAAAAATTAAAATAAAATCTATAAATAGGATAAAGCAAGAGGAAGAACAAGAAATAACAAAAAATAAATAAAAAGAAATAATAAAAGAGATAATTAGGAGGAAATTTGATTTTTACAATAATTTTTTTCATTGAAGAGATAATTATTGATAATAAAATAATTAAATTTAAGGAATTTGACTTATTTTAATAAATTGAATTATTCCTACTATTTACTAAAAAAATTGGACTTATATCAAGTTTCCCCTAAAAAGAATTAGAGTTTCTCATAAAATTTCTTTTTATTTCTCGTTCTTTGATTTGTTAATATAAGTGAAAAGAAAAGAGGTTGAGAATGATGCATATTGTGCAAGCACGACATAAATGTGAGTATAATTTTGTAAATGTTTAAATATTGTTTAGTCCATTATGGTTGTATAATTGTATTTATTAACGATAATTTGTCAAGCATTTGCCTACCCAACGTTAGCATTGTCCTCTAGCAAACTTGCATGATTTTTTAGTTTTATTCTGGACCCAATTAGGCAAGTGTGCCAATTTTTATTATGTGCTAAAAGTACCACTTGTGTTAATTTATTTTGAAAAATGCCAAAATGGTTTAGACTTTGCCCACCCTATCTCTTTATGGATAGCACCCATCCTAAGTAACCAAATAATGAGATATTTTATGTGCATATATAAGATACAAGTCCTCCTTTATTGTTGACAGAGAAGGAAAGTATTAAAAAAACCATTATATTTGTTTTGAAAATGCATTTTTGCTCACTATTCTAAACTAGTTGTGAAGTACGTCACTTTATTAATTACCGATAATTTAGTTTGATTTAATTTATTACTGTCCAAACTCCGAAATCATGCTCATTTGACAACAATCAATAAGGGGTGATCACCACTTAACGATAGTGAAAAAATGTATTTACATAGATCTAGAAATGCCTGCATAATTTGACATTGACAGGCATGACAGCACCCACATGTAAGTTTAGAGAGCACTCCCATAGGGGACACCACGGCCATTCCAAAACTCTGCTTGGGCAACTTTGTCTGCTAAATGTCTATTCGTCCAACGTTTCCCGTCATTTGAAAAAGGAGAAAATTCCTAAAAATAGGATGTGCGTATACACACGCGTCAGCGATCTACACGATGTGTGGCTTAAGGTCTCCTAGCACCGATTGGTCCACGTGCCCAGAACATGAAAACCACTAGTGGTTTTGTACGCTAAAAGATAGTGGTTTCATTGTCCTCAGGTACACTTTCCTTATATAGCTTTCTGCTGAGGTGAATCATCAGTCCAGCCAAAGCTATTTTGGGCGAAACCTCGGTTTGTCTCCATTCCTTAAAAGCTGTAGCTCCTTCTTTGAGAACCAGGTAAGTTTTAAGTCCATTTTTTTCTTTCTTTTATTCCCTTTAATTTTCTATTTTTTCCATAAATTTAAACTCCTCAATTGATTCCTTTATTCTATTTCATTGTTTTCTCTCTATTTCCTGGAAAATTTGTTTCAAAATCCACCATTTTGACTTCATACCTGTCCGATCTTGAACTGATTGAAAAATGAATTAGGTTCCTCAAATAGCCGGCTAATCTGTATTGTTCTTCTTCATCTTGTGCATATACATTTATTGGAGTTAGATGATTCATTTTGAAGTAGTGAATGAATTAATTAATTAACCCAGATTTGGTAGGTCATCGATGGGGAGGGGTAAGATTGTGATAAGGAGGATCGACAATTCGACCAGCAGGCAAGTGACGTTTTCAAAGCGGAGGAGCGGGCTGTTGAAGAAGGCAAAGGAGCTGGCGATCTTGTGCGATGCTGAGGTTGGAGTCATGATCTTCTCCAGCACTGGCAAGCTCTACGATTTTGCAAGCACCAGGTCTTACTAATTCTATCAACTTTAATTTAACAATATTTAAGCTTGATTGCATCTGTTATACATTGTATTTGATGATATGGCATTCATTCATAGCTTGAGATCCATGTGGAAATGAAGTTAATATGGTTGATATTTAGCCTGTAAAAATGCATGCCTTGTGGTGTTGCATTGTTCACAAATGCCCGACAGATTCTGACTGCAATTAGCTTGGGAATCGCATAAATTATAACATGCAAGGACTACTCATTAGTATATTAGAACTAGCAATTCATTGTTCACTAACTGAGCAGTGTCTTTTTAAATTTAAATTCCTTTTCTAATTTTCTACTCGTCAAAGATTATTGGCACAAAAATTAACATAGATCTCATAATAACTTCCTCTTGTGTACCATAATGGTATCTCTTATCATTTTCTAAGAAAAAAAGTAAGAAAAATTAGATATGACTTGTAACTAAGGGAGTACATAGTCAATCCAAGACACCGCTTAGTCTTAGGTCAAACGAATATTACACCCTGTTCTACTGGCAAAGTCACCTTATGTTAAGGAGAGTTTTTGTTTTGACTAAAGGTGAACTAATACATTCTTTGAAAAAAAAGGTAAATTAGTTCTAATGACTACTTAACCAAGGGTTTGTTTCACGTTGTTGCCCCTTATCTTTTTATGCCTCTGTGAAGGAAATTTCTAATTGCTTGTTAGTAACTTTACTTTTAGACAAAACCAGTGAACTTAGTTCTCACTAACCCTATTGTGTAGACTTTGCATTCATTTTAACAAGAAATGTAAAAAGCCAATTTTAAATTAAGTGACAAACTTATAAAACTATACGATAATAGCTTCTGCTTTTTTTTTTTTTTTTTTGGAAGTTTAAAATGACCAAAGACTTAGAGGAAAGTGCATGCATAATACCTATGGTTGAACAACTATTTCCTAGTTAACTATGTATGCTATTAAAAATGCATGCATGCATGATATTTAAGAAGCCAAGTTTAATGCATGATATCTATGACATTATTTTCTTCCTAAAAACACCCCTAATTAACTATGTGTACCATTTAAAACAATACGGGTAACTAATACTTTAATTATTTCAACACACATTTCATAATAATTTGAGTTATTTTGGGATAGGATTGGTTGAGGATCCTTCCTTGTACGTTTACTTCATACTTCAAAAATTAATAATGTTTCGCTTTAAAATGACCAAACAATCATCAATTTCTTTAAGAAAGACTCAAATTTGACTGCGAAAAAAATACTTATTAATGAGAAACCAGCAAGTGAAAAAGGCCTTGGCATTAAGTAACATTTAGCCTCCATTAGACAAGAGGTAATTGATTATACCATTTAATTAATGCGGCAAGTCGTTTTTCTAAAACTTAGCTTTTTAAACCATTTGAATTGCCTCAAAATTACTTTCAAAAATTAGCAGTTAAATCATGCAGGTCATTGTGATTCTTTTTGCCTTTCCTCAAAATTTACCCATGTAGAATTGTGGCTTTTTGCCATTATCAACCTCTCAAACCTAAGGCTATTGAGGCTTGATCTAAAACAAACTGGAACTGTTATTGGACAGAGCCTGACTAGGTTCAATAGTATGTGTCCCGAGTGTTGCTTTTGGCCTCAATGCTACAGTATGACTTGAGAGAAAGAGAGAATAGGTGTGCCACTGTTGGAGGTTGCCAACAGAAAGTAGTGTATGTGTTTATAGTTGTGTTGTGTTTGCGAGTAGATTTGGCTTCTCAACCAAATGATTGTGGATAGAGTGGGAAATTGGTTCAGTTAGGTTTTCTTTTATCCCTCAAGTGAATGAGGACTTGAAATCCAATGCGAAATAAGTGTTTGCCTAAATTAAAAACAAAAGTGAAATAGAAATATAGATGAGAAATTGGATGTAATCATTTCATGATAGTCAAAAATACAAACATTTACAAAAGTGAATGTAGGTTGATGAGCCGGTCTACATAACTTGAAAAGTAAATGAACTTGAAAATGTAAAGAAAGTAGTAAACTCTAGCAAGATTCAGATCATGTAAGGAGAGATAATGCTAGAAGAGTCCATGTCAGACTAGACTGAAGGGAAAACATTGCCTTAAAGAGGTGATCAAGTTTGGTTGGAATGTTCATCAATTGAATCATACCATAGGGTGGCAGAGTTAAAAATGTTTTAGATCTCAAGGTGATCGTAGATAACGTTTTCTTTGAAGAAAGCTTGGGTTTGTAGATGAAGAGCTGAGAGAGTTTCAGAAAAGCAATTGGTTTGTGCTTAAAAGTAGTTTGGTTGATTGAAGAATTACTTGATGGTTGTATAATCGTAGAGATTGAAAATGGACGACGAAGGTCTCGAGCTTGAAGGCATATGGTACTATTTATAGGCATATGGGGAAGAGCAATCTCGATCATATTGTTGAGCTGGAGCAAGATTGAATTGGTTATTTGATGCTAACAATAGCTACAATTTTTGGTTGGTGGTTCTCTGCTGGGATTTACGATGCATCACATGATTGTTGTGGTGCCATCGTGTCTGGTGACGCATTTCTTGCTATTCAAGAAAGCGAGAGATTCCCGAAGCTGGGCATCCATGTGGCAGACACGCTTTGAAGAGGATCAAGTCCAAGCACCCGGACGATTGCAAAGTAGTGAGAGCGGTCGCCCGATTAAATACTATCTATTTCTCATCCCACAAAAGTATGAGAAATAAAGTCATAATTAAACGTAGATTGGTCCTATATCAGGCCTTATTTTTTTTATGACTTTAATTCTCATACTTTTGTTGGTTGAGAATTTGATATAATTTAATCGGACTTGGTTTTATATCTAATTTAGATTAAATCCTTTCTTCTGGAGGAATGATTTCAGGAGAACTAGCCAATCGAGGCTAATTCATCGATCCTTATTTTAACATTGACTTTTTTTATTTTAGACTCGCGACTTGCAATAGTCATTAACCTTTGACCGCCTACCAATTTGCTAGTGACCTTTTTTGTCCACCTAGATTTCACAAAAACTTTATTTTCTCCAATTGTATCACCAATGCGCCATGCATGGTGCTGCAATTGGTTGGACGGATTCATTTGGACGGGATTAAAATCTCTTTCAATATTTTAAAGAGAAGTATTCCGTCAGACAAAAAGCTAGTTAGTTCCGCTGTAAGAATTATTAAATTGAGTCTAGTGTGAGAGTCTAGTGTGACACTGCAGAAATAGAAGTTTGTCATTTGTCTTCTATAAAGAACTAGTGCAAAGGCCGTTCTTCTCTCGAACCCGGAAAGAGAACGAAATATGAATGGGATCATCTATCGTTTCATAAAAAATAAAAAATAAAATTAGATGATACGATTTCCAGATTTTTAAGTATTAAATTACGTATTTTAAAGTAAAACTCACCCTTTTTTTTTCGATTCCATTATTTCCATATATGTTAGTAAACACAAGGAAAGTTAGTGATAAGAAAAATTTGAACACTCATGTTTTACTAAAATCTGAATGATTCAAACTTTAATTTGCAGTAAGTTAGGAATAAGAATGATTTGAACACTCATGTTTGACTAAATCTGAACGATTCAAACTTTAATCCTCCATAGAGGCCCAAGGGTGGCTAGTTAAGAAACCCTAGAAGCGTAGGTGATGGATTAACAGACACAACTTCCCGAAAACCAGAAGCGGCTAACAACCTATACTGCCAGTTCCACATTACAAAATAACACTTGTTCATCCATACATCATGTCATATACAGACCTTCAAAAGCCCCACGTAATAAACAAAGCTAAACCACAAACATACAATGTCAAAATATACATTATCAAAATACCCCAAACAAAATAGAAATTTATCACCAATTAACCAACAAACTGAAAGGAGCAGCTAAACCTCATAACTATATCCACCGTCGGGTACTAGTGAGAACATAGTTCTAATGTCGGCAAAGTAGGACATGAATTCAGAACCATAGAAGGAGGTGGGGCAAAGCTCCACTTTGAAACCAAGGTCTTGGTTTCGCACACCTTCACTTGAATGAGCGACGACTCACTCTCGGGGTGGGCAGCAGACACAGGAACTCAATCGAAGTTCTCAATAGAAAGTGGGCAAATTGACGGCAAAAGAGAGTTTTTAGGGTTGGATATGCAGTAAAGGTTAGGGATTTGAGGTTTTTTTTTTTTTTTTCCAAATTTGGTACACAATAACAAGAAATAGGGAGAAATTAGAGGATAACCAAAAGATGGGAAATCGAGTTCCTGAATAGAAATGTTTCTCAGACCCACAACCATTGACAATCAGGGAATGAGGCGCACCACCATCCGAAGAGGGATGGGGCAAGCCACCATTTGGAGAGATGGGGCAAGCTACCATCGTGTGAGAGATGGAGCAAAATTAGCCAGAAAATAGGGAAATGAAATAGGAGAAAGACGGGAGAAGGGAAAAGGGAGGGGAAAACTGAGAGAGAGATGTGGAGTAAAGTAGAGAAGGAAGCTTGAGGGAATGGGAAGGAAGCAGAGGGAGGGATGGGAAAGATGGAGGGAGGGAAGCAGGCTGAAGCTTTTCTCAGTATGTTTCTCGCAAGCGGCGCGAGAGATAGGGAGAGGGAAGCAATGAGAAAAAGGATGAAGGAATCATAAGGAAGGATGGGTGGAAGAAGGAAAATGTAGAGGGTGAAAATGGAAGGGGAAGAGGGAGGAGGGCCAGAAGAAGGTGGGAGGCAGGCTGCTGCCAACCCCAAGTTGGAGCAAAGGGCGATGGCTAGGAGGCTTTCAAATCTAGATTTTCGGGGAGAGTAGGCACAAGGCTACTTTCAGAGGTCAGGGCCCAAAAAGGAGAAAATGAGTGGTACATCACATCTCGTGTGCCGGTTACACTGAAAAATCTCTTCTAAAAAGATACATTATTCAATTAAGAGAAAAAGGAGGTTGAAAAGTGATAAGGAAGAGAAACAAAAGGAGAGAGTAGAAGAAAGAAAATGGCAATTAATAGTTTTTTAATGAAAGAAGGATTTTGGTTTTGATGTTTTTTAATGAAAGATACATTATTCAATTAAGAGAAAAAGGAGGTTGAAAAGTGATAAGGAAGAGAAACAAAAGGAGAGAGTAGAAGAAAGAAAATGGCAATTAATAGTTTTTTAATGAAAGAAGGATTTTCGTGTGCCGGTTACACTGAAAAATCTCTTCCAAAAAGATACATTATTCAATTAAGAGAAAAAGGAGGTTGAAAAGTGATAAGGAAGAGAAACAAAAGGAGAGAGTAGAAGAAAGAAAATGGCAATTAATAGTTTTTTAATGAAAGAAGGATTTTGGTTTTGATATTTTTGAGTTTTAGAAGCGACAGGGTATTCAACTTCTAGTAGAACCAACCACACTTGCAAGATAAAGACTATGAAACCCTCCCGTTCGACTCAGTTCATACATATTTTAACACAAAAACTGTGGACTGAAGTGGTAAGCTAGGTTCAGTTCAATTTTTTTAATACATACGGTATTATGTACATTAAGGAGTGGGTTAAGCATCACAATAAGTTAGCTATAATAATTTTGTTCAATTTTGCTTTTAGTGAGAATTGAACTTATGAGCTCTCACTCATAAGTGAACAAGAATACCACTAGACAATAATACTAAATAGCGGTTTAGGTTGTCTCTTAAGCATGCTGACTTAAAAAATATTGGTCAATTTCGATGTTACATAAGCGGTTGCCCGGGCTCCATTATACAGGTTCTCCGGTAAATATGTACGCAAAAAAGGGATACCAAATAGAAGGAAGAGTGCTTTACATTATACAAATACTAAAAACTTATCAATGATTCATTGTTGTGTTAGGATCCACTTTTCTTTTTACTTTTTCATTACTCATGAAGATGATATAGATGTTGTCTCGAATTTAACCACAATTTCAATACATGGTTGATCTAGGTTATGAAAACTTGAACGTGTGGGGTTTATCAACAAGGACCCCGGTGTAATCCAAAAAGAGTTACCACATAATATACAATTTTATGGATAATAACTCATCTCATTTGCACAATTTTATTTGATCTACTTTCCAGTGTTGATCGAAAGCGCCGATGTGCTTTTTATTTCAAATTAGAGTAGGTTTGGAAGTTCTTTTAAAATGGCTAAAAACGTTTTTTTATTAAAGTTGTTTAAGAACCAATCATTTGTAAAAATGCATGTGAATTCTAAAAATGCATTTGAAGTGCTTCTTTCAGATGGTTTAAGTGAGTTTGATTCTTACATATAGGAATTAGATACCTTAAGTTTGATGTTTGATTCCTATAACATTGTTGCTATGTTGGTGTGTTCTATCTATTAATTCAATGAGCCGTCTACTTGTTTTTCCACTTTGCTTTTTGTTGTTCTCATTTCTCTTTCAAATAGTTAGTCATTTACAATATAAGAATCACAATTTAACATATGCGTGCATAAAATGAAAATTGTGTATTTTTTAGGAGTAATTTATGAAAGAATATATGTTAAAACGCAATTTGCAAGAATTAGATACGACTTCTTTCTTAGACGTAACTAAGAGATGAGCATTGTCCCTTATTATATGGAAATTAAACTCATACAACAACAAAGTCTTATCCCACTAAGTGGAGTCGACGATATAAATCATAAAACGTCATTTCGCTAGGTTTTGCGCCAAGCCTTCTGTTAACTCCAAATACTTCATGTATTTTCTTAAAGTCTCTTTCCAAGTCTTCCTAGGTTTACCTCTACCGCATTTTGCCCTGGGCCTCTATCTCAAATTCAAATTTTCTAACTAGAGCATCTGTAAGTCTTCGTTTCACATGTCCAAACCACCTTAGTCGATTTTCTCTCATGTGGCAACTCCTACTTTACCACGGATATTCTCTTTCTTAACCATGTCCTTGATCGTGTGCCCATATATCCAATTAAACATTCTCATCTCCGTCACACTCATTTTTTGCATGCGTTGATGCTTGACGCCCAAAATTATGTGTCGTAAAGCATTGTTGCCATTATTGCTATCTTATAAAAAAATTCCTTGAGCTTAGTAGCATAAGAAGGTCGCATAACACACCCGATGCACTCTTCCACTTCATCCATCCATCTAATTCTCCATTCTTCTACAAGATAGATCCAAGATAACAAAAGTGTTCACTCTTTGGTACTTCCTGGTCTCTAATCTTCACCCTACCTCATTTAGGACCCCATTCCCACTGAACTTGCATTCCATATACCCTGCCTCGACCTACTTAGCTGAAGATATTCTAACATTTCTCGCCAAAGGTTGATCTTCACATTTACAGCATCTCGTGTTTCATCTATCAGCACTATATCATATACGAAAAGCATACACCAAGGGATATCATCTTGAATATGTCTTATTAACTCAGTCATTACCAATGCAAAAAGGTAAAGACTTATAGTTGCGCCTTGGTGTAACTCTATGGTTATCAAAATACTGCAATTTTCTATGTCGCCCTTATTCTTGTAGATAGACACCAAAGTGCTGCTTCGCCACTCATTTGACATCTTCTTCGTTTCCAAAATCTTGTTAAAAGGTTTTTTAGCCATGTTATACCCACCTGCTTTTCTATGCTTCATCTTTTTCAAAAGTACAACCACTTCCTCTTTCATGATTCGGCGGTAGGAGTAATTTCTACACTCTTTCGAGTTACTCAACTCACTCAAAAAAGTTCTCTTTTCGTGTTCTTCATTGAAAAGATTATGAAAATAAACTCTCCGTCTATCTTTCACCGCATTCTCCGTAACAAAAATATTTTCATCCTCATCCTTGATGCACCTTACTTGGTTCAAGTCTTTTGTCTTCCTTTCCAGCCAACTCTCCTTTTTTGGTATGTAATTGCTTAAACATATCGTCAAAAGTTGCTAGCTTCTATTCTCTCATAGCTTTCTTCGCCTCCTTCGGTATTTTGTACCTCTCCCAGTTTCCATCTGTTATATCCTTGTATAATATTTTACAACATTCTTTCATAGCCTTAACCTTTTCCTATACCTCCTCCTTCCACCACCAAGATTCATGGTATAATTTATTGAACTCAAGAATGAAGATCACTTCTATAAGACTCAAGTTGTTTGATACACTGTAAGACTCTTTCCTAAAAAATTGAAATCATTCCTAACAGTGGTGTGTGAGGCCTAACTGAACACATGAGGCTTTCATCACAGTAGTTTACGTACATATACAATGCACGTCTACATTATCGGGACGCATCCATTCCCAATGTATGCATTTTTGTTTGAGTGCTTTGACAAGGAATTAAATTAGGGCTTTATCTTATCCCACCTGTTACATGTTAGACACTTCAACCTCACCTTAGGGACTCATTTGGTCTTTAGGATTGGTTTATAATGGACAATTTTTCCACATATTCACTGTATGCACAATGCTTCAGTTAAAATGGACAATTCTTGCAGTCAAATGGATATACTTTTTTATTTGGTGGTTTCTTTGTAAGGGCAATTCTCGAAAATAAAATTAGAACTGAAGTTTCTTGTCTTTTTGTCTGTATGTGTGCGTGTGTGGTTGAGCCTATGTGTACGCATGGATGACTAACACTAGCATTTAGCAACATGTTACATATGTATTAGGTTAATTCATGCCAACATATGTGCTGCCTATCTGGAATAATATTACATGTCGTTTACACATAGAAGCAAAACACTTTAACCTGATTAAACTTCACTACCATTTTGTAGAACCCGCAGCACGTAGAAAAGCGACATAGTTGAAAACTGATGAGCTTCTATGGAATCAAATTAGAAACTGCAGAAACATTTACACCCGCAGGTGCAAAAACAAAATATGGACCTCCATCAACAGTGTTAGTATATACGACATTTACCAATTACCACTATTATCGTATCCTAGCCCTGTCCAGAAGAAGTTAAAATCAAGTCCTAGGTACTTCCGTAGATATACTGGTTCAATCGTACTAAAGGTTCACCTCACAAGCAACCACCCCTGCACCACAACAGTTCAAAGTGTGGACCTATTCCCGTGCCCATTCTACTCAAGAGCGATGCAGATTATCGGTTTAACTTTGGAGGAACTATATAAGCTCCTTGTAGAACGTAGTTCAGAGACTAAGGAAAACTATTGTACATCTGTGTGAAGACCTCACATCATTATAAAGTATGCAGTCCATTTAATCCTGTCCATATATATCAGTTATTTTTAATATGGAAATGACTGTAACTTGCAAGATGAAATTATAAAGTAGCAAGCTTACAAGAAAATTAGTTGTCGTGGTCTTCAGTTGCCGTGAAATGACTAATGCCGTTTAACAATCCCAGCTATAGAACTAAGAGTTTAGATTAGACTTCTCAAAGTGAATTGTCTAACAAGTAGTTAGCAAAGGAATCGGAAACTTCTCTCTAGTTCCCTGCTACAACATTGTCTGCAAGCAGATATGAAAACCATATGTTTATCAGTAACAACAGCTTACGAAACATATTGCTTGCAGGGAAGTGGATTAAAAAGTTAGTCTAAAATGTTACCATGATATATCAATTTTCTTTTGTTGTCCGTAAACAGATTCTTGAAAACATATTCCAAATGTTTCTTGTGCTAAGCTGGCAAAAAGCAAAAAAGTATCTGACGTAAATGTATCCTCTTACCAGCATAAAATCAGTAATCGAACGATACAACAGAGCAAAAGAGGAGCACTACCAATTTGGGAATCCAGCTTCTGAGGTTAAGGTATTCTTCAGTTCCCTGTCCTGCAGCAGTTTCATTGATAACTTATCTTCAAAACATTGTTAACATGTGAATTTCTTCTAACAGACAGCTCAGAAATAACAAATAGATCATTTTTTAATAAACCATATTCATCAAAACATACGGCAAGATATGTATGTAGACATATATCTTTCTTCTATAAATCTAATGACTAACTAGATTTTAAAAAAATATGTGAGAACAAAGTGGAAATTAAACTCTATATCTTTGTTCTATAAATCTTCTTGTGCTATGCTGATTAAAACGCATCAGAAAGCTATTGCTAAGTAATTTAATGAAGTACAGCAGCCACCTCAAAGATTGGTAGGACAGCCAAAGGGTACTGGAAATGATGGTTGCTCTAGCTTATTCTCGAACATAAAGCATAGCATCTCAATGACGCTGCTTTTCAGGAAAAACACATTTCAGAATGACTCACAACTGTAACTTATGCTAGTCGACTTTTCTACAATCGAACAAAACACAAAAATGAAAGCAAACGAAGAAACAACTATTCTTCATACACAACCTAAACTCGTGGTTGTATCATGGAAGATAGAAGTTGGAACAAATCATCTGAAATAAAGTCTCCATATAAATAGTTCAAGTCATCCCATTGGTGGTATTGAATTTCATATCAGCCCCCCAAACTGGGTATACAAACTTCTGCTGGTAAATTGTATATGCGCTCGAGTGAGATTGCACCCTCACCCATCCTAAGAAATAAATGGCCTATATTATTAATAAACATTCTAAAAACATATGGTCGGCAGATAATTAATGTTTATTTGATGAAAAACAAATATTTCTGTAGCAAAGACAAAGAAACTAGACAATAGGGGACAAGGTATTTACTGAATTGCATCCATCTCAAGAACGACAAAACAGAAAGGAATAAAAAAAGTAATTTATAACAGCTTTCTAATCAGAATAGATAGCATGAGAGGACCAATCCTTACCATATGATGTGAAGCCTACCAAGATGTCCAGAGTCCGACTAGTTAAAATGAAACATATTCCCTTTAAGTTTCGGTAACACCATTCCTTTTATTTGTTAGTAGAATACTAGAAAAGGCTTCCTTGCATATTCTTCCTTGATATACAAGCATCCAAAATCTCAAGCATCCAGAAGTACATTTCCAATCACAAATGCCGAAATTGAATCACAATACAAGTGCTTCATTGCATTGAATATTAAATTAATAATATAGTATAAAAGATGAGAAAACGGAGATGTAAAGTGATTGGGAGTCCAGATGAGTATAAACGTACCAAAATCTATTAAAAAAAATACAGGGTACCAGTAAAAATGAAAAAATATAAATTATTCTGCTCAATAGATATGTTGAGGTTCTTTCAAGGATATGAATAAGTATTCATCCAAGAAGCCATTTTATACAGAAAACAAACACTGTTTCTGGATCCTTAGAAACAAACATCCAGATTTTACTTCTATGCTATCACGAGAAAGAACATACGGCGAGCATACAGCTTCAAACTACTTACTCCTTCAAAACTGTCGACTCAATTTCACCACCTTCGTTTGCATACGAAGTCATGGTTAAGGGTTGGTCACAGAAAGAAAACTGTGATAGAAGAGGACTTCCTTGCATAACTAATTGCCAATTCAATGTGCATGTCTGTTTCGCGAGCCAAAAGTCAAGCTCATGGATTTGAAGAACTCCAATGACTTTGTCTTCGTTTAAAGGTAGAGATCAATCAAGAACAGGATTGGCAGGAAGACTATGAAAGAAGTAGATTGCCAAAGTTAGTTCAGAACTTAATGTTGTTTCATCAGCCAAAGCCGTGATGCTCTTCATTTGCAATTGCAGAGGAAAATAACCGGCAAAGAAACCAACTGATGCATCACAAGGACGGAGTTCCAATAGATGCACACCTTTAGAAATTATTCCATTAAAAGATAGTTCGTTATCCTTGACAAATCATAGCAAGAAAGTTGCAAAATCTTGGAAGCTCAGGCATTAATAATTCCAAACACAATATTGGAACCAAGGAGCAAAGGCTGAATTGCTAACCTCCCAAGTTCAGTAACAATGGGACAAGAGGTTATTGATATGACAAAGCATCACATATGCTGGCTCCCATATGAGTGAAGTTGCTTCAGTAATAAGAAATTTGTTCCTGATCTACAGGGCATCTCTTCTTACTCTGGGGTGTTTCAATTCAATCATGGAGCTCTGAGCGAGGGCGAATGCAATTATTGGTAAGGCTAATCCCAGAGGCAGTAAAAACCTCGCTCCGAGGATTTTTCCAGTTCCACTTTTCTTTTCCCTACAAAAATTCCTCTTTAAATGAGTGCATATAGGTATGTGAAATCAATGAAAGAATATAGGGCAAGAAAACATTAAGGTATTGCTGGCTCCCTTTTTCCCTTGATCAGATAAATCGAGTTCAATGTGCATACAAAGGCATTATATGTGCATGCATGTGCCAAAATGCTAATCAATCAATGACTCATATTCCCGGATTAATCTTGTCGATAGAGACATTCATGTAGTGAAAACTTTCGTTTCTGAATCAGCCAAATTTCCTCCTTTGCATTACTGTTCCCAACTTTCCAAATAGGCTCCTAGGTTTGTGTTATAATAGGCACCACACTGAGTAAGGCCATTGGAATATGCTAGAACTCTTTGGACATCTGCTCAAACCAATTTTATGTGAAAGGAATTTGTAAGGACTACACTTTGGCTCAAGCTTATAATAAGATTCTTCTTCCCTTCTACCAAACAATATTACCAAAAAGTAATTCTTCAACTTCTTGGTCATTATTGCAACCCTAAAGAAACCAGTCTTACCTTCAGAGGGAAAGACCATTACCAAAAGCCAGCTTGGTTCCGTTGTCTCTCCACTAGCCGACTCAAAGCATACCCACTAAATACCTAAGACCTCTTAAATACTCCTCCAACACCCAAGGGCTAAAATATTAAGGTTTGGGACTCTCCGTCCTTGTCCTCGATTTAGGGTTCAGAGGGAACGACCCTCACCAAAAGAGCCATCTTGGCTCTCTTGTCTTTCCATTAACTGACTCAAAGCACACCAGCTAAATACCTAAGACCTTGCAAAATACTCCTCCAGCACCCAACGGCCAAAATATTTAAGGTTTGAGACATTGCGCTCCTGTTCTCAGTTTACAGTCCAGAGGAAAAGACCCTCACGAAATGAACCACCTTGGCTCTCTCATCTCTCAACTAACCGACTCAAAGCATACTCACTAAATACCTAAGACATCACAAATGCTCCTCCAACACCCAAGGGCCAAAACAATTACAGGTTTGAGACTTTTCATCCCTACTCTCGGTTTAGGGTTAAGAGGGAAAGACCCTCACCACGAGCCACCTTGGCTCTCACGTCTCTGCACTAACCGACTCAAAGCATACCTACTAAATACATAAGACCTCACAAATATTACTCCTCCAACACCCAAGGGCCAAAATATATAAGGTTTGAGACTTTTCATCTCTGTTCTCGATTTAGGTTCAGAGGGAAAGACCCTCACCAAATGAGCCACCTTGGCTCTCCCGTCTCTCCACTAACCAACTCAAAGCATACCCACTAAATACCTAAGACCTCAGATATATTGCTCCTCCAACACCCGTGGGCAATAAAATTAAGGTTTGAGACTTTTTGTCCATGTTCTCAACATTTTCTAAAGTGAAAAAAGCAATGTGATGTAGGATTGCAATCTTGAGCTTCCAACTATCATTCTAAAAAAAAAAAAAATCAAATAAATAAGGATTCATATATGTTCAGTACCAAATAAAACTAATATTTGCTAGCTGTAGTGCAGGAAATTACACATGTTTAATGTCAAAGTTCATATCTCCCCCAGCCTAGTGTTAATCGACCCAAATTTATCAAACGTGTTGATGTTATCATGCACCTGACTTGGCATGAGGGACAGAGCTACAGAAAGTAAAAAACCATACATTGTCACATGTCCAGCCATCGTTCCAAGAGGGATAAGGGAAATTTCACACCTAGAACCATACTACACCTACAGTAAATATGAAGTGCAAACCTCAATATATAGTTACAAACACCCTATACGAAACAAACTTTTATTTTGTCGAGGTATTTGACTCATTAGGACAAAGGATGCATGCAAGAAGAGTGCAAATGAGTCAAGACTAGTTGATATGGTCTCAGACAAGCGTATAAGTGATCCCCACTTCATGCTGGATCTCAGCTGATCCAAAATGACAAAGCTCAAGCTCTCTTTTTTACTTCATGAGTTTTTAAACAACCCCAGTTTAGGCTTGAGCTTGAATATAAGATTGAAAAAAAATAAAAAAACAAAGAACTCAAATTTGGAAAGGTAATTTGAGACACACACACACACACATATATGTATACATGACGAATAATGAGAATTCAAATATTTATTACGCTACAATCGGCTTTAAGAATTACGTTTAATTCTAAAATTTTGAAGGGAATATCCAAATACTTTTCTAATGCATGTCAAAGTGACAACACGAACGAACATCATTGCATACTAGCAAAATAGGTTTTCACTTAGTTAGCCAACAGAGTAGAAAGTAACTTGTCCTTAATTTACCAGATTTGAGAAAGACTGCCTTTCACCATGAAATGTATCCGAAAGTCTACATGTAGTCATTTCTCAATACATTGTCCTTTTTCTTTGTTCGGCACCACTTAATACATGTAAACATTACAATGGGACTTATTCTCTATATTATGCAAAGAGTGAAGAAAGGGGAAAATAAAGAAGATAAAACTGACTCAGAAGATGAAAGACAGATAAAAAAAGCTATACGTCAATAGATGGACACAATTATCCATTCAATAGTCTCGTACAAGAAAAATGGTAGTGAAAATCTGAAATGGTTACTTCACCGAACTACATAATATAACGTCCAAATAGGAGTTACATATAAGAAACTTTAGCTGTTGGTTGAAATCAAAAGATGTTATGAGTAAGAATATTCTTGTAGGTTAATATAAGCTCATAATTTTTCTTGCACATTATCATTGGTACATGAACAAAAGTTTGTGATAGTTACAACCCGTAATATTATACAAATGAGATTATTGCTTTAATTGTACTGAAATTTTCAGTTTCGAATTCAAATTTGTTCATTCCAATAGTTATGACTAAAGATAGTCCTTTTTTACTTCCTAGATATGGCAAAGGGAAGCAGCAACGTTGAGGCAACAACTTCAAAACTTGCAAGCAAGCCATAGGTATTATGATTTTCCTTTCTATCATAAAAACGTTGTAGCATATTATAACGGAGACACACTATCATTAGCAAAAGACAATGCACGAGAAATAAGAAGTGAAATAAGAAGTTAAAATTTCACAATGCAATTAGGATATTTTGTGCCATGTACACTATAACTACAAGGCCTTGCCCCTTAGATACGAGAAGTTAACATGCATGTGTCTAAACACCATTTTCTGACTCCCTTATGGAACTTGTTCTTTAATCTATGCGACAATAGACTAAACTTAGCAACTAGAGAAGAACTAGAAATCAATGTATTAAAAGTGTGAGGCGTGGGTGAGGCATCCGAGGGATAGCCCGGCCTAGGCGTGAGGAGTGAGGCGAAGCCTCACGGGACCTAAATTTTTTAATATATACAGTGAGCGTACACATATATTATATTGAAAAAAAAATATTATTAATCAATAATCATCCTGGACACACACATATATTATAAATATATACACATATATATACATATATTATATATATATATATATAATAAAGGATGAAAAGCACAATGAACACACATATAACAATGCACGCAGACAGCACATACATCCATTTTATAAAAAAATAAAAAAAAGGCAGAGAGACGATGGTGCAAGGAAGAGGTATGAGGCAGTTAAAACCCTACCCAAAATTTGGGTTTGGGAGTGAAAAAAAAAAAAAACCCCTAAGGCACGCCTAGGCGGCTCCAGCAAAGCCTTCCGCCCACTCCCTCAAAACAGAGGCGGCAACCCTCACGCCCAGCCTCAGAGGACGCCTAGGCGCGCCCTAAGGCATGCCTTTTAAAACATTGCTAGAAATACACAAGATTTATACTAGTTCGGCATAACTTTTGTTTACCTCCGGTTGTGATTTCTCTAGGTAGAGAAACCATGGCTTCTTTGATTAATAATAGTATACAGTACTTTTGCAAACACTAGAACTAATCCCTCTCTTCTGTAAGCTGTCTCTGTTTTCTGCTTGCTTTTCAACCCTTGCTACACCTTATTTATAAGTATAGGGTGCAATTTACACTCCTATTAATCTGATTAGGTCACCAAATCTACTTGGGATAGGAAAGCACCCTTCATTCCTATTCCGCTTCTTCTTTTAGGATTCCTAATTTAATTGTACAAGAAAATTTATTCTTTCATAATCCTTAATCCTTGTAAGACAAGAATCTGTGCACCTTAGCTTTCCTAATACAATCCTAATCAAAATAGGAGTATAACAAAAGACAAACCAAATCCTAACAATCTCCACCTTGGTGAGTCGAACCAAGTCTTGACTGTTGCAACCCAGAGTATCTTCGAAGCTTCTTTAAGCAACTTTATAAATCTTCAAGAACCTTCACCTTGGCAAACTTCTTCTTGCCTCATTGCACCTCAAGTGAGAAGGTGCTCCACCCCAAGCAATCAACAAGATTGATCAAGTTCAAGCAATGTTTGAATTTCTTGGCCAACACTATCTTTGTAATGGAATATGTGGCATTGTCATTCGTGTTAACTTTTTTAACCCAAATCTCCTTGGACTCCCCCTAATTCCGGATTCTATGATACCTCACTTCATTGTACTTTGATCTTCTATGACAAACCAGATTTTTTACAAGTGAATGGTGCTTTGACTGTCACATTTCAGCTTCAGGTAATATTATGGCTTTCCAAGCCACAAAGCCAAATTGCCTCCTTTCTTAACTCTACTTTAGTGTCGACAAAACTGTAAGAGGTTGTAGTAGTGCCCTCCAACTGATTGGTCCTCCTGCGCCTGTAAAGAGATAACTAGAAGTTGACCTTCTCTTTTCTAAGTCCTCAGCATAGTCAGCATCAACATATCCCAACACCGGATTCTGTGATACCTCACTTCATTGTGCTTTGATCTTCTATGAAAATTTTGATTTTTTGACAAGTGAATGGTACTTTGACTGTCACATTTCAGCTTCACATAATATTGAGTGATCCTCAATTGGCTTACCAAGCCACTAAGCCAAATTTCCTCCTTTTTGAATTCTACTTTAATGGTCGACAAAATTGTAAGAGGTTGCAGTAGTGCCCTCCAACTGATTGGTCCTCATGCGCATGTAAAGAGATAACCAAAAGTTCACCTTCTCTTGTCTAAGTCCTCAGCATAGTTGGTATCAACATATCCCAACACCCTAGAGCCTGATGTTACTGAAAGAAGCTCCCCCCTAACTCTCTTCTTCAATGACAGTACCAACTAAGCTTGAGCTACCTTCCATTTTAGCTTTCTCATCCCGCCAAATCTCAAATCTTGCAGTTCCTCTTCCAATGATTCGTAGAACCACATTCAAAAAAACTTCCTTCTTTTCCTTTTTCTTCTTGGATTTCGACCTACTCATGTTGTTGTTCTTCTCTGCCTTCGTCTTTTCCCGACCTTTCTCCTTGCCTTTGGCATAAAGATCTTAAGAGCCTTCAGTTATATCCTCCAGTTTAACATATGACTGAAGTGCTTGAATTATGTCCTCAAGCCGCAGGAACTATTTCCAAACATTAAAGTTGTTCGAAAGTGCTTAAATGACGAGGGTAGAGACCTTAGCAAGATGATAGCCATATCATCATCTTTGTTGGTTTCTTCGACCTTCTGAAGATTGGCTATGCAATTTTGGAACCTGCATACATGATGTTCAATATTACGCCTTCTTCAAGTCGAAGCCCGAATAGTTCATCCTTGAGAAACAGTTTATTGGACACTGTTTTGCCCATATAAACCTTCTCCAACATGTCCCATGCTTTAGTAGTCATCATTTCTATGATGTGGGACCAAACTGATTTCGTGAGATGAATCCTAATAGAACTTTTGACCTTCTTGAGAATCTTGGTCCATGTTGCTTGTCATGGTCTTAGGCTTCTTACTAAGGAGTGCATCATCCAACTCCTGCTATATCAGTACGCTCTTCTCATCCTTTGCCAGTCTGTGAAGTTATCCTTGCCATCAAAATGTTTTAACGCATGCCTTAAGCTTCCTAGGAGCACGAACTTTTTCCTCTTGCCATCGCAAAACACCTTGAACGAAGCACTTGATACCAATTGTTGTTATTCTGAATATGGAACTTGTTCTTGGATGTATAACGCAATAGAGTAAACTTAGCAAAAGAGAATAACTAGAAACACACAATATTTATACTGGTTCGGCAGAACTTTTGCCTACACCTAGTTGTGATTTCTCTAGGTAGAGAAACCGCAGTTTCCTTGATTAAAAATAGAGTATACCGTACTGTTGCAAACCCTAAAACTAATCCGTCTCTTCTCTCGGCTCTCTCTATTTTCTACTTGCTTTTCAACCCTTGCCACACTCTATTTTTAAGTATAAGGTGCACTTTACACTCCTATAATCTGATTAGGTCTCCTAACCTATTTGGGATAGGAAAGCACACTTACATTCCTGTTTCGTTTCTGCTTTTAGGATTCTAATCTAATTGTACAAGAAAACTTATTCTCTCCTAATCCTTGTAGGACAAGAATGGGTGCACCTTAGATTTCCTATAATCCTAAACAAAATAGGACTATAACGAAAGACGAACCAAATCCTAACAAAAATGACGTACTAAGTAAGGTGATAGTGACTGACCAACTAGAGGGGGTTAAGTTTTAAGTGATGAGAACCTGAAAGTTTGGTTGGTTGGAAACTGAGGGCGAACCTAGATTGAGGCCCTTGCAAAATCCAAAATGAATTTTTGGCAACTGAAATTATTGCTTTTGTTTTTAAGTTTAAATAGAAACCCCACGAGAAAATTAAAATAAGGGAATTGGAGCACACAGGCTAGGGCTTTTGCTCTTCCTAATTGTTGTTTTGAATCTCTTTTTCTATATAGTCTGTATTTAACAGAACATGTGAAAAGTAAAAGCGCAAGAGCTCGGGCTCGGACCTACTCCCTACAGGAAAACAAACAAGCTAGTCACAAACAGTCAGAGCTAGGGGCATAGTTTGTTATTCTACTGCAAGCTATGACATATATTATCCGTCTCTTCTCTCGGCTCTCTCTGTTTTCTGCTTGCTTTTCAACCCTTGCCACACTCTATTTTTAAGTATAAGGTGCGCTTTACACTCCTATAATCTGATTAGGTCTCCTAACCTATTTGGGATAGGAAAGCACACTTACATTCCTATTTCATTTCTGCTTTTAGGATTCTAATCTAATTGTACAAGAAAACTTATTCTCTCCTAATCCTTGTAGGACAAGAATGGGTGCACCTTAGATTTCCTATAATCCTAAACAAAATAGGACTATAACGAAAGACGAACCAAATCCTAACAAAAATGACGTACTAAGTAAGGTGATAGTGACTGACCAACTAGAGTGGGTTAAGTTTTAAGTGATGAGAACCTGAAAGTTTGGTTGGTTGGAAACTTAGAGGGCGAACCTAGATTGAGGCCCTTGCAAAATCCAAAATGAATTTTTGGCAACTGAAATTATTGCTTTTGTTTTTAAGTTTAAATAGAAACCCCACGAGAAAATTAAAATAAGGGAATTGGAGCACAGAGGCTAGGGCTTTTGCTCTTCCTAATTGTTGTTTTGAATCTATTTTTCTATAGTCTGTATTTAACAGAACATGCGAAAAGTAAAAGCGCAAGAGCTCGGGCTCGGACCTACTCCCTACAGGAAAACAAACAAGCTAGTCACAAACCGCTGGAGCTAGGGGCATAGTTTGTTATTCTACTGCAAGCTATGATATATATTATATAAGTACATGAGAAAAATAAAATTGGGGGCCCTCCAAAACTGGAGCTGGGGGCCCTCCAAAACTGGAGCCTACACAATGGCACCATAACCATGCGTATGATTTTATTCTCGGACAAACAAGTACAGAATCTATCTTGTTACTTAAGGAACTCGTGAAATAGCTCAAAAGGGAAAAAGGAATGATCTTATGTTGTCATAGAACTCCGGCAGTCATTTCTTAACATTGAATGCACTGCGTTGAACCAATTGGCATTTTCCATGATTTTATACCAGATGCTAGATTATGAGGGCTTGAGAAATCTTCATAACAAGCTATAGAATTTTCCCTACGAAGTGACATTGTTTATACTCATACAAGATAGTCTACACTGCAACCTACGGGAAGAGGACAATCCGATGCTTAAATAATGGATTAGGTATAGGTGAAAATTAAGCGATTATCTAGGATAAGGATGTTTGGCATCAAACAGAATTGCAATGCATCTCATAAATCCACGTCACTATTGGATTTAAGATGTCCAAAGTCCATGTTTAGGGCCTAAATAATGCTTTTGTCATGACTACAGGCAAATGATGGGAGAAGAGCTTTCTGGTCTAAATGTGAAAGACTTACAGAATCTAGAGAACCAATTGGAAATGAGTCTTCGGAGTGTCCGAATAAAAAAGGTACGAGCAGTCACTCAATTTCTGAAAATCATCTATTTACGTAATGTCTTCCATGGTGCTAAATCACTTTTGACTTCTGTAGGACCAACTTTTAATGGATGAAATAGAAGAACTAAACCGAAAGGTTAAAATCTTGCAAAACTTTGGTACTACTTTTCAGTTTTTTCCTCTTTATTACTTAAGGAGCTAAATGTTAAAGTCTGTGTGCAGGGGAACCTCATTCACCAAGAAAATATAGAACTGTATAAGAAGGTAAACCTAATTCGTCAAGAAAACATGGAGTTATCTAAGAAGGTACTGGTTTTGAAACTAAATAAACTTCAACTATCCAAGAGTAATAAAAATCTATAATCCAACCTATAAAAAATTGCAACATTTTTTCCGCAACACCTTAACAGAAGTTTCACATCCCAGGTTTATGGAACAAGGAATGTAAACGAAGCAAATCGAAACACTCTTCTGACAAATGGTCAAGGTATTGAAGAGGACTCAAATGGACCTGTCCGTCTCCAGCTTAGCCAGCCACAGCAGCAAAGCTACGAGCCACCAGCAAGGGCAACAAATCTGGGGTATACCTTCTTCCTAAAACTACACTGTCCATTATGATTACCACTTTCAATTTTCCATTTATTGATCAAACTGTTTTATGATGACTACAGCAGACTACAATTACACTAGCAAAGAAGATGCATCATATTAGGATAATGTTATTTTATTTCTCAAGAACAAGGCTGATGGATTCAAATTCATGTTCTATCACACTAGTGGTAAAAGAGCTGCAGAACAATCCGCAAAAGGACCTTGATTTGAAAACAATGATTTGATGTGTGTGTGACAATCAATGAAACCAGCTACATATGTAAAGATGAGATCAATATATAATAAAGAATAATTGACTTGCACTTCCCGTGCAGCTCAACTTTTAGAAATCTCTAAGTCTATCAGCATCTGTGAAACAAACTTTCTCTGAAAAATATTGCGATGTTTATATGCATGTCATCAATTTTTCTACACAAAACATGTGAACACCAGCACTTGGTTTGAAAAAAGATGAAAATATAAAGGGAAAGAAGCAAAACCATTCGACTTACTGCATTAAAGTTCAGTCCATTTAAGTACTGAATTTCAAAAAATGGTGTATGCGGTGTTTACCTTCTTGTCCACGCAGTCTGATATTACATAGAAGGCATCTACAATGATTTGCCGTCCTGACTGCAATATAATGTTCAGCAAGGAAGTAATAGGTAGTTAAGCACAGTAAGCAAAATCAAGCCATATATAAATTCACTGAAACAATCATTAAATGTACACAGAATTCTCTGATACAATAATAAAAAAAACCTCTAGGACATCTAATTAAATAAATTCAAACCAGTTGGAAAGAAAATCATGCATAGTCAAATCGAAGAAAAAATTATAAAAATGCTGGTTATGATCACATGTAGATTCTGGACCATTTCTGATTGAAACAACATAAAACAGGTGAGTACAATGCAGTGCAATCCACAAATATTAGGCCTCCGGGACTATGAAAAAGTATCTTATATCAAATTAGGACTAGTAGACTATACATGCCCAGGTTCGAGACTTCGGAATATCCCATGCCACTCTATGGTATTTGTTTTCATAGACATAGTTCTTAATAACCATAGCCAGATCCATGTTTCCAAGTTTACAGATTCATGCACCAAATAATAAACAACAGAAATGGATAAAGTTACAAGAGATCTATGGACTGCAATGCAAATCCCATAGTGGAATTCTAAAGTACTACCAAGACATATGAAAGACTTCCTATTGGATAGGGAAGACCGCATAATCATGCCACATTTGAGATTCAACTTTTGGAAAGTAGGGAAAAATAACAATTCATGAGATTAGGTATATCAACAACTAAGGCCTGCCTAGCATAGCTTGCAAGGAAAGGATCAGAAACATGTTAAAATAAAAATTCTTGGTCTTCAAATGATTCTGGGCCATTTCATTTTATTGTAAAATAATATGCAATTCAACTCCTGTCAGACCAGTGGATTCTAAAGAGAAAGGAAAAGTATGATAACAGTTTGAGCATTTTCAAGCATAACTCCAGAACTCAATGCTATTTCTTAAAACAACAAAAATAAATAAATTAGATATAAAAAAGGAACCACGAACATCTGACAATATGTTTTATTTGCCACTATATCTCAATGGATTTTCTTTTTCTTTTTTTTTTTTTTTTTTTTTTTTTTTTTTTTTTTTTTTTTTGCGTCAAATATCTCAATGGCTATTTCAAGAGACGCAAAATGCACGTTTAAGAATACAACAGTCAATGGTATAATTTCATGTTGCTTCCTGAAACAATAATAGTACTTTGAAGGACAAAACAATATTCCAAGATAAGACAGTATTTTAGCAGGAAAAAAATAATGCATTCAACAAAATTGAAGCATATGCTGTTGTATTTGGCAAGAGTCAAAAGGACTTTGAAAGCTAAAATCTTCCACAAAAGAAATAGCTGTTCAATGCCCTGCAGATAGAACAAGAATGAAATTACCAGAGGTAGGGTAACATTGTAGTGTCAGCCAAGGACTCTTCAATGCTCACAATCACTGAAATTGGTTCAGAAATCAAGAAAAGAGTGTGCAAAGCTAACACTGTTAACTCAAATTGACCTTTGAATTTCAAAAATCTGGTCCAAAAGACTTGTCTATGATATGATCCACTTCTTTGCGAAAATATGAAGGCTTAAAGGAGAGGAGATTATGATGATCTGTAATCATATATTGGCAATGTGTTGAGAAGACTTAGGATACGTAAATAAGGCAATGAAATTCAAATGTCAACTTGAACAACTACAACTATTCATGGAGGAAAGCTTGTATTGTGATACTCTGAATCCTACATCAGCCATGCATGCGTTGAGGAGGTCTAAGTTACTCAAGAAAAGCCTATGAAATCCAATGTTAACTTAAGCTTCAGAAGGCCTTAAATGGTACCTTTTACCAAAGGTGACAGAGATCCATAAGCAGGTAAGAAATGGCATCACACATCGGATAGGCTCGTCCACTTATAAATGTTATGTGTACGTTTCCTATCTTAGTGAGGACACAGGCCTAACTTTTGGGGAGAAGGTAATCTTGAATCGTACTTCATGTATGACATGGAAAGTATATGATACTGAACCATGATCTATGAATCCAAATGTCAACTTGTGGTATGCATTATTGGAGACCTAAGATCATCATAGAGTCGATCTACACGAACCCGGCCAAGACTGAACATGAATGCTCATATTTGGCTTGTCCGGTTTCTCTTTTAGTAAATAACCTTCTTGGATACACTAAACCCCTGGACTTCATAAGCTTATAATTATAGGTCTCATTTGCTTGGGGACTAAAGACTTGAAAGTGGGCATAAGATTCAATTCCCATGTTTAGTAAGCAGATACTTGGGGATGTGAGGCCTTTTAGAGAACTTCCATGTAGGAAGACCCCACTGGGCAAAGGGCAACTCAAACCCCTTAATGAACAGTAAGTAACTGCCCAAGTACATCTCTACCCCTAAACTAAATAGCCAAGGCAATTCGTATTAAAATATTAGTATTTTTTATTTTATAAATAATAAAAGATAACTTCATTTTTAATTTGGAATAATAATAAAAGATTGGTTAAAAGTATTTGAAAATATTGAAATGTAGTGTAAAGTGGAAGAGCATGGTTAGGTATTTATAGAAAAAAACTATAATTTTTTATATTTTTAATTAGTTTTTTTTATAATATATAATTCATTTTTATAATTTTTTAATAATTTAAATTGTGATTGACGTCATGATAACGTCACATAGGCTGAGCGCTGGGATAGGCAATTATTGACTGACTTCTCCATTAGGCTCGCCTTGGGTCCAATTGCCCAAGTGGGCTGGAGTGTTTTGGGGAAGGGGAGAGTGGATTGGGTTGCCTTTCCCTAAGGCAATAAGCAACAGTGGAGTTGCTCTTACATGGGTATCCATAACCATTATGGGGAGAACTGAAACTCTTAGGCCTCTAAGGTGTCTTGGAAATGCATTTATTGTGTTTCTTATGATTAAACTACCCTTATAATAGATTAAAAATACTTTTTTTTCCCCTCAAATTTTTTGGTTTTTTTTATAAGGGTATTAATATTATTGAAAATTTAAACAAATATTTAGTCGTCCTATTTCACAAATCGAGCCTTGGAACAAGAATCAAAGGCCTTATTTGACTATCAAATTATCACTTCCAAACAAACACTTGAAAGGGGCCACAGGAAATGAGCCAATAATGTATATATTAAGCAAGACTTTTAAGCAATTTTTTTTTTAAGTTATGAGAATAGTTTGAGTAGATAACTTCAAAATTTAGGCGCAAATAACAATCAAATCTATATCTTTCAGAATCAAGCTCAACTCAATTCAATTTAAAGGTCATTAACACAAACTATCATGCTAATCTACATATGGTGATAACCACTCACCACATAAAGTTTAATTGAAACTGATAAAACTTCTGGATCCTTAAACTCCACAAGCTGCCAAATGAAGACACATAAAGAGAACAAGGAGCAAATCAAAACACAAAAAGAAATTTTCACATCACTGATAATTACGAGTCTTCTCCCATGTGAAAGCTACACTTTCAGTAATTAGTTCTTCACAAGATTTAAAATATCAATGTTTTTTATTCTCAAGGACTTAATATAAGATCAAGGTGGACCGATTTTAAGTAAAAAGATGTTTCCAATTTTCACAATATCAACTCAAATATATGCCATCACCATAACAAAACGTCCTCATTTCAGCCATTAGCACCATGTTCATCTAACTATAAAATCATCATTTTTATCACCACCTCATAAGTCTGTAAGGACGCTAACATAACCACTGCAACAACACTAGTACATACTAGGTTCCACCAATGAACTAATGTGATTGTACTACTAAAATCACATGCCACCACCTCTTGGTTATACAATCCGCCACTGTTACCAAAAACATGCAATTGAAACAAGCATCACACGTGCCATCATTGACAGCAGCACTCCTACTACCGCCTGCCAGACCACATGTACCTAGTTTATCTGATTGTTGATATAACTATCTGACAAACGTTATCAAGAAAATATGAAAGCCTAGATGCCTCTTGAAGGCTAGAAAAAGGCTTCATTATAGGCGTATTCTAATAACTTTCATTAATGGATGCACATTTAGAATGTACACTCGTAATGTTCTAAAGTTATCATCTAACATAGATCATGAATGTAAGTTCATAATGCATAGCAACTGTTAATAAGGATGAACATTACATAACGTATTTTAAAGCCATGATTGAACATCAGACATTCCTAATGTAGACCATGAACTCGATGCACTACGTCAGACAAAACACTTAACAAGTATCTTGAGTCGTTATCATAATAACAAGAGGTTTATAATTGGTTTGAGGATTAACCCATAAAGCATATCCGTACTAAATATACTTTACAAGCTACTTTGGTACTTGTACAAGATTGCATACACTAATGCCTACTTATGAGCATATCATGAAATAAAGCAAGATTGTGAAGCCTATATGTTTAGTAAGCAGACCCTTGGGAATGTGATGCCTTTTAGATGGGCATCCCTAACCATTAGGGGGAGAAACTGAAACTCTAGGGCCTCTTGAATATATGCTTTTCCCATGCCTCGGAAATGCATTTATTGTGTTTTTTTATGATTAAACTGCCCTTATAATAGATTAAAAATATATTTTCCCCCTTAAAAATTTTGGTTTTTTATAAGGTTAAATATTATTGAAATTTTAAGCAAATATTTAGTCCTACTATTTCACAAACTGAGCCTTGGAACAAGAATCATAGGCCGTATTTGGTTATCAAATTATCACTTCCCAGCAAACACTTGAAAGGAGGGCAATAGGAAATGAGCCAACAATGTATACTAAGCAAGACTTGAGTAATTTTTTGAAGTTATGAGAATAGTTTGAGTATTTAACTTCAAAATTTAGGCGCAAATAAGAATCAAATCTATATCTTTCAGAATCAAGCTCAACTCAATTCAAATTATAGGTTCATTTGCACAAACTATCATGCTAATCTACATATGGTGATAACCACCCTGATGAAACTTGTGGATCCTTAAAATCCACAATCTGTCAAATGAAGACACGTTAAGAGAAAAAGGAGAAAATCAAAACACAAAAGATATTTTCACATCACTGTAATTACCAGTCTTTTCCCATGAGAAACCTTTACTTTCAGTAATTGTTTCTTTACAAGATTTAAAATTCAATTTTTTTTTATTCTCAAGGACCTTTTACAGATATAAGATCAAGGTCAACCACTTCTAAGTAAGAAGATGTTTTGAATTATTCACGATATCAACTCAATATATGCCATCGCCCTAACAAAACATCACATTTCGGCCATAGCACCATGTACATCTAACTATAAAATCATCACTTTATCACCACCTCAACTGTAACTGTATGGACACTAACATAACCGCTGCAATGACACTAGTGCACTAGTAGGTTCCACCAATGAACTAATGCGATTGTACTACTAAAATCATCATGTCACCACCTTATACAATCCGCCACCATTACCACAACGATTCAATTGAAACAAACATCACCACTTGCGATTGTTGACACCAGCAGTACTACTACCGCCTGCTGGCCACATGTACCTAGTTCATCTGATGGTTGATGATAACTATCTGACAAACTTTATTAAGAAAATATGAAAGCCTAGATGGCTCCTGAAGGCTAGAAAAGGGCTTATTTTTAGGCGTATTCTACTAACTTCAACTAATGGATGCACATCTAGAACGTAAATTCATAATGTTTTAAAGTTATCATCTAATATGGATCGTTAATATAAGTTCCTAATGCATTGCAACTGTTAATAAGGATGAACATTAAGTTGTATTTTAAAGCTATGATTGAACATCAGACATTCCTAATTTAGACCATGAACTCGATGCACTGCACCAGACAAACACGCAAACAAATGGAGTGTTTTTCTGATAAACACACATAACCGAACAAATCTTGAATTGTTATCATAATAGCAAGAGTTTTAATTGGTTCGGGGGTTAACCCATAAAGCATTGGTACTACTATAGTATACTTGTACAAGATTGCATACAGTAATGGCTACCCATCGGCATATCATGAAATAAAGAGAAACTGGGAAGCCTACATGTTCCAAGAAACGGAACCAGAGACCGAGTCGACAAAATCAGTAGCAACTACTACCTCGATTTGTCAACTATAGACCCTATATATCATAAAGATAACACTTACAAGAAATGATGGATCACAGACAGCCTAATAAAAGCTAGGATCTAAACCGAAACGTGTAACACATGACATGAATTTAACATAATTACGAGAAGGGAAAAATACAGGTGCATTGAACAAGGTAAAGTTTAATTAAAGTTAAAAGTGATCAAAGCAGTGACTAAACCAAATTAAAAGCAATTAGTGGTGAACACTGTACAATTTACGGCAGCTATAAAAAAGCAAAGATGGCCGATCCAAATAAAAGCATGAACAGTAGTAAAATCTTGTACCTGAATTGCGAAGTGAAGGCGTGTATCTGTCTAGAAAACAAAACCACTGTTCCTCGATAAGAATATTATTTTCTGAAAATTAACATTCCAAAGCAAAAATACAAGTATTTAAACAACGCATAAACCGATATAAATATAGATTACAAACTAGTGGCAGTGAACATATATATTTTCTCAAATTTTGCAATATACATACATACATACATATTTATATATAAGAAGCTCAATGCGCAATTCACAGTAACAAATAAATCATCTTAAAAGTTGAAGACGTAGGGCTTACAATAAGTTGATTATAACGCGATACTCGCTTCTCAGTTCCATTTAAGCTTATTCTCGAATTTTCTCATAGTTTTCTTGGCAGCCAAACAGACGGTTCGCCGTGGAAGACGAACGGATATTCGTCAAGAAACAGAAAAATTACAGCTCGGAAGAGGTGGAGGATATGGAATAGAGCAGAAGAAGGAGAATGCAGGCCGAGAAACGCGGTGATTTGAGGAAATCGCGAGTCGGTGGAATCCATTGGAGAATCGGACGGAGGGAAGGGGACGAACGGAGGAGGAGGAGATCTGCTTCGATGGAGGGGAAGGGGAAGAGCGCGGATGCCTGACGACTAAGAAGAAGAAGAAGGTGAGAGTCGTGTGAGGAGAGAGTTGGATGAAAAATATCTGAGAGGGAAACGAATTAAAAAAAGAGAGGGGAAATGATGGTGGGGGAGACCCTGAGAGGAAGAGAGTGTTGGTGGGGGCTATGGAGGTCTATGATGCCCCCACTCGATCTAACACGTAATGCCCTTTTCTTTTTTATTTACTTCTTTCATTTGCTGATTCTCTAGTTAAATATTATTAGATAAATCTAGGGTTTCGAATTCTCCCAAGCTGCTTTCTGAAACCGGAGGAGCCTTTGGAGGCATAGGTGTATTACTCACCGGTTTCCGCTTCACCAAAACCAGCAGCTACAATCTATTGGCTCAGCCCAGCCTTGAACTCGGAGCAACTTTCGTAAAGTTGAACCATGACTACATGTTATTTCGGTTTAATAATATAATGTCACGAATGGGGAAGTGCGGGCCGTTGTTGGTATAAGATTAGTGGTTGTAGTGGGAACTCGGAGCAACTTTCATAAAGTTGAACCATGACCAAGGTATAAAATATCGATGATATCGGAAATATCGGTAGTCTAAAAACACAGAAATTTCTATGGAAATATCGGGATATTATCGATATCGATAAAAATTAAATAAAAACCACGGAAATTGTAAGAAAAATTTGGAAATTTTTATTAAAACTTTGCAGGATGTTTATTTAGTCAATTATCTATTAGTTTATCACAAAAAATTGGAAGGAAATGCATTGCATGATAGATATAACTAATTTAAGTTGATTATATAGCGAGCTGGCAAACATTGTGAGTATAGAAAATATGTAGTAGTTAATGAAAGAAGTTTAAACACACCATAATCATTTATATATAATGAATTAGTACAATATTTTACACTTTATACATTGCATGGTAAGATACATGAGTGACTTAGCAAGGTCTAAAATATCGATGATATCGGAAATATCGGTAGTCCAAAAACACAGAAATTTCGATTGAAATATCGGGATATATGGATATTTTAGACTATTTCGATTTAATAATATAATGTCATGAAGGGGGAATTTGGGGGGGGGGGGTGGTTGTTAGTATAAGATTAGTGGTTGTAGTGGGAAGTGGTGGGGGTTGGGGTTGGCGATGACGGTGGTGGCAATAGCGGTGGTGGTATATAAGGTTAGTGGTTGTAGTGGAAGGCAGTGGTAGTCAGTTTATTATCCAATGGGTAATATATATGTAGAAGAATAAATACCGTTATTTTTCTTTTTTGAACAAATAATGTCATTTTTAAATATTAATGATTATATTAAATAAATTCAAAATATTCATTAATATTATGTTTGGATGAGAGAAATAAGCTTGAAATTTGGATAAAAGTCAGAATTTATAAATTGACATGCACTAATTCCCTTGTTTGGATTGATAAACATAGAAATTTAGAATTTCCGCATGAAAAAAAAAACTTAGAATTTGAGATCTCCAATTCTTAAGTTTAAATTCTATGTAAATAAGTGTCATTGCCCAATTTCTATGATTGAGAGTTTGGAATTTGAGATCTCCAATTCTCAAGTTTAAATTCTATGTAAATAAGTGTCATTTCCCAATTTCTATGATTGAGAGTTTGGAATTTGAGATCTCCAATTCCCAAGTTTAAATTCTATATAAATAAGTGTCATTTACCAATTTCTATGATTGAGAGTTTACAAAAAACAAATTATGTATTCAATTCCATTGTTCTAGTTGAAGTCAACAAATTTTCCACTTATTTTGGATGAGCAATGCCAACTTTTAACTTAAAACGCAATTATATACATTAGGGTCAACAACTAACCCACACAATGGACGAGTCATAATTTAGTATCTAATTTATCATATAACGGGGTCAATGTAACATCTCACATCGTCCAGGGAAGTGGATCCTCTAGCCTTATATGTATATTCTCATCTTTACCTAGCACGAGGCCTTTTGGGAGCTCACTGGCTTCGGGTTCCATCGGAACTCCAAAGTTAAGCAAGTTCGTGCGAGAGCAATCCCAGGATGGGTGACCTACTGGGAAGTTCTCGTGTGAGTTCCCAGAAACAAAATCATGAGGGCGTGATCGGGGCCCAAAGCGGATAATATCGTGCTACAACGGAGTTGAGCCCGGGATGTGGTAAGGGCCCGAGCTGGGATGTGACAATTTGGTATCAGAGCCAAACCCTAGCCGAAAGTGTGCCAACTAGAACGTCGGGCCCCTAAGAGGGGTGTATTGTAACATCCCACATCGCCCTAGGAAGTGGATCCTCTATGCCTTATATGTATATTCTCATCTTTACCTAGCACGAGGCATTTTGGGAGCTCACTGTTTCTGTTTCCATCGGAACTCTAAAGTTAAGCGAGTTCGTGCAAGAGCAATCTCAGGATGGGTGACCTACTAGGAAGTTCTCGTGTGAGGTCCCATAAACAAAACCGTGAGGGCATGGTTGAGGCCCAAAGTGAACAATATCGTGCTACAGCAGAGTCAAGCTGGGGATGTGATGGGAGCCTGGGCCGGGATGTGACAGTCAACCCTAAGACCTCACATTTACAATAAAGGGAGAAACACCACTACATCGTAATACAAGTGATAATGTCTTGTTTTAGTTTTAATTTTATATTTGAGACATTATGGGGGGAGAAAGAAGTAAAAACAAGACAAGAAATTTTTACATGTAACAAGAACACTTGTCATGTAAAACGTACAATTCTACATATTTTAATATGTGTGGAAGACATGAATGACATGTCTCACTTATAGAGTATCATAGTATAGAAACCAAATATATATGTTATAGTTTATAGAGTTACTCTAAAAATTTGATAGTGCACTTTATGTTTTCTATACTTGGAAAACAAACACATTCATACGGAGTGTACAATATAATTTTTGAAGTGTCAATAATAACACCTTAAGTAAAACCGTAACAGTACATGATGATGTTCCGAAAATTGCTCCATCTTGAGCATTTGTGAGTCGTTTGAAATATCATTATGACATTTAGTTTCAAAAAGGTCTATATTGCTCAATAAAGTGACTATTTATTTGTCCACTACCACTATGTTACGTAACAAATCTAAAAAAGGGTTATGATAAAATAAACCTGTAAGAAAAATATTATGATTATTAAGAATCAACGGGACTTATCCCTCTTTCCTAGTCTAATTCAAGATTATGCTTTCATGTCTACAACTCAGTTTATTAAAGGGATGAACCTAATCCGGAATAGGAACCATAAAAGAAAATAACGATTAAACCAAACACAAGAAAACCAGCTATAGTACCTATTATCCAAAGAGGAATCCTTCCAGTAGTATCGACTATTTGTCCTACTTTCCTCCACATTTTATCAAGTGATCATGTTAGAGATATAAACAACCATAAATAATTATGAGATGATAAACTTCCGAAAGGGATAAGAGAATTCCTACTATCTATTCTTTTTTTATTTTAATTAAAGAAATAATTGAAAAATAAAATAGCAAGTACAAAAATGAGTAATAACCCCCAATTGATATTATTCCCGAATAAGCTAACCTTTCGAACTGTTGCTTAATCCATGGGCAGGCAAATAGACAATCTGATGAATTGAAACATCTTAGTAGCCAGAGGAAAATCAAGCAAAATCAATTCCCGTAGTAGCAGAGTGCAAAATAAAAGCTACCTAAACCGTGAAAACAGGGTTGTGGGAGAAAAATACAAGCGATCTCCTCTTATATTCTAAATAAAAATTTAATGTATATCAATTTTTTTTTTTTGGGTTCAAATATGTATATCCTATTATTTTGTTAAATTTCAAAAAAAAAAAAAAAAAAACCCCACACGGTTGATGGTGAGGCAAGCCGACTAGTGTGTGGAGTCTCGAGACTAGAGACACATTGGGACAGCAATAGCATCTAGACTTGGATTGTTTGTCCTCCTTATCTCATACCCTCCTCATACCCCTTTTATACTTTTTTATTTCTGTGGTCATGGTTAAGCCACATCAATATTTTATATTCCTATTACTTTTTGTCTTATATAAAATGGTAAGAGAAGGGTATGAAATGGGATGGCAGACAATCCAAGTCCCTACCACATCACCTAGGACCACACGAAAAATGATTTAATAACATGCCTGTGTGGGCAAATCGATAGCGGACACGTACCCACCTTCTAGACCTCACGATTAAACTAATGATGCTGTATTATTCTATTCGTGTTTCGAAGCATCCGGAAATAAAGATTGTAAAAAAAACGTATTAAAGGGACGAATGAGACTGGGGGGCCCCACCCACTTGTCGTGGACACGTATCGGTCCAGAATTCTGATAGTAAAATATTGTGAAAAGGACAAAGGTATTTGAGCGGGTGCAAATTGTAATCTGCTGTTGGTCTTATCATGTTTTGTTTGTTGGTTGAATTACGGTGTACCTAAACTTTGAAAGAAAGCTAACAACTATTCAAATTATTAAGCCTTAATCTTGTTTACGCACGCGCTAAGAATAAGGTACCGTTTGGTACAAAACGGGACGGGACGGAAATGGACGGGGAGGAACAAATGTTCCGTGTTATGTTTGGTATTCGCAGAACGGAACGAGATTGTTGTTCCGTTCTGCGTTTGGTAAGTGCATGGACGGAACAGAACCAAAAGGTAAATGACAAAATTATTCATGTTTCGTCTATTGTTTGGTACAACATTTATGTGTGGTATGGGACGGGACATTTATTTTTTATTTTTTATTTTATTTTATTTTTTAACTTTTTCATATTTGAACACATATATACTTATTCATTATTTGTTTTTCTCCCATGAACTAACCTTATATTGAGATAAGCATTTCTACAGTTATAGTATAAGCATTCATGCGCATAATTGCTTCCTAGAAAGGCAGTCCCAAGAGAGGTGAACAACCAAGTTAATCATGTTCCAAATTATAGCATAAATCACGGATACAACAATGGAAAACGTAGATAATTCGATTGGATTCATTTCGTTTGGCAGAATATGCTGCTTCAAAAGCGACACTAGATAGTAAAAGTGAAAACAAGTAATAAAAACTGAAAATTTACTCAAGGAACTGCAGTAAAATGGCAAAATCAAACAAATTGGTAGAACTTCATGTCGTCTAAGATGACTAGATTAGTAAAATTTTGAATAAAATTCAACAGTACCAAATCGAAAACAAAAGTAGCATCCTGAATAAAATTTCTCCCAAAATTCTGACGCATAGCCAATGTTGGGTATCAATGCATATCCCTTGAACTTTCGCCTGACACGTGAATCAATACCCTTGGGCCTTCTCCAGCTTTCCTGCCATAAGCAAAC